GCACAGCGCTCCAGCCAGAGTCTGCGGGCACGCTGAATGGCGGCTGGCCGCACGCTGGGGACGAGTCCTCCTCCCTGCCCGTGGACCGGCGGCGCACATGCTCACGCCTGAAGCCGCCGTGCCCTTTGCAGAGGTCACCGGCATGGCCAATATCTGGCCAGTGGATCCGGCCGAGGTGAGGCATGGAGCGGGGCGTGCGCGGCGGCCGCTGGTCGCTCGCTTGGCTCATGACGCTCTCGGAATCGGAGCTGCCACCACCGAGCATCGTTGCAGAGGCAGGGTGGCGACTGGCGAGCCGGTATGGAGGGTGATACCTAGGGATCCTAGGTACGGGAAGAATGCCTCGACGGCTGCCGCCGTGCCGCCGGATGCAACCCGTCCTATACGAGAGAGGAATCCCTGGGACCCTGTCGTGTGGGTGGACCCTGCCCAGCCCCCCTCCGTGTCGCGATGCGCTCCCCGCTCCCGTTCCCCTGTGTCCCTGATCGTTCGTCCTTACAAGATCCTCCACATAAATCCGAGACGGTGATGGGAGGGTCGTGTGGTGGTCTCAGGCCCAGTGAGGTAGTGCATCTGACTATCCCGGATCCTGCTGAACAAGCTCCTCTTGTAGCTCGATCGGTCACACACCGCCATCGCCGTCGGGGAGAGGGGGGACGACACTGCTTCTGCAGCGTGCACCTCGATCCTGTACCGTGTTTGTCGTGGTGTCCCTAAGCGAATTTTACAAGACGTGTGGCGACAAGGCTACCCGTGGCTTTTGGGCGCACCTCTGGTGGTGTTGCGCGCTCTGCGCGGCGCCACCGGCGGCGCGTCGGAGTGGCGGCCGCCACTCGCGTGGTGCCAAGAGGTTCTCCGGAACCCTTACGCGCACCACGGCGGCCGCCTTCAACTCCCCGAGCGGGGCCCTAGGACCAAGGGCGCGCTCGGCAAATTCCTGCGCTTTGCGCAGGGTCACAACCCCTGGGCCAGTTGTTGGTGGAACCACCTCAAGGCCAGCGCACATGCGCGGGCGATGGACTGACTCCAGCAGCTCAAGGGCTCGCGCTCTCCTCACCGCCGCGCGCGCGTTGCAGCAGGAGTGCCGCAAACCGCAATGCGGCATTGTGCGACTACCGCATCGTGCCGCAGCTGCACCGCTTCTCCTCGGACATCATCGTGAACTCGGTCCGCTGCGAGGACGCGGTCAGCACCGCGCCGGATCTCTTCTGAGAGCCGGCGCGGATCGCGGATGCGGCTTGAAGGCTCTGCCGGCGGATCTGTGGCCTGGCGCCTGCCAGACTGCGGGTCCAAATACCCCGGCGCTCGCGCGCGCCACCGCCCCCGGCGCGGGGTGGGATATCAGTTCGTGAGTCCTGTGTCCCCGTCCCTGTGCTCCACCTTCTTCTCCCGTGTCGGTCCCTGAGAACCCCACTATACAGCGCCACCTCGTGAGCTGTCCTGTGAGCTGTGTGCTGTGCGTC